ATGATTTTCTTAAATGTGTTAGAAACAAGGTCTGAGACCACAGGCAGACCTGTGGTGACAACTGCATTAGACTTACATTATCCTTTCTCTGGGAAATTATCAGTGGTTATCTTTCGCTGCTGGCCAAAAAATAAAAAGAATGAGGCAAGGCTGCAGGACTGTGTGACCAGTTGAGGCAGCTGCCAAGGCACAGCTCCAGCTGGAATACTTTGACACCCCAGTGGGTGGGATCGATAGCCCAACTGAAGTGCATTTACACCAATGCACCCAGCATGGGCAACGAACAGGAGCTGGAAGCCATTGGGCAGCAGGAAAGCTATGACATAGTTGCCATCATGGAAACATGGTGGTCTAGCTTGCACAACCAGAGTGCTGCCATGGATGGCTGTAAACCCTTCAGAAGGGGTAGGCAAGGAAGGAGAGTCAGTGGGGTAGTCCTGTATGTTAGGAGTGTTATGATTGTCTAGAGCTTAGTGACGATGCCAATAAAATTGAGTGTTTATGAGTAAGAATCAGGGAGAAGGCCAACAAGGCAGATATCGTGGTGAGAGTTTGTTACAGGCCACCCAACCAGGATGAAAATACAGATGAAATTCTATAAGAAGCCAGGAGAAGTCTCATGCTTGCTAGCCCTTATTCTCATGCGGGACTTCAACAAGCAAGAACAGATGTCTGCTGACACACAGCGCAGCAGAGAGGAAACAGTCTAGGAGGTTCCTGGAGTGCTTAGAAGATAACTTCCTGACACAGCTGGTGAGTGAGCCGAATAGGGGAGGTGCTTCACTGAACCTGCTGTTTGCAAACAGAGAAGAACTGGTAGGTGATGTGATGGCTGGAGGCCATTTTGGGCATAGTGATCATGAAATGATAGTTTTTGATTCTTGGAGAATCCAGGGTTGGGGTCAGCAGAACTGCTACCTTGGAGTTCTGGAGGGCAGCCTTTGGCCTTTTTAGGAGACAGGTTGGAAGATTCCCTTGGGAGACAGTCCGGAAGGGCAGAGGAATCCAGGAAGGCTCAACATTCCTCAAGAAGGAAATACACAGAATACTTAAACATCATGGTGTGTTGTAAAGGTATATCTGTGAGAAATTTGTGAGGTTAAAGTGAACTATTCTCAAGTTAGCTTCTAATTCCTATCAGACTCTAACTAATTAAGTTTAGCTTAGTGGCTTAGTTTATTGGTATTTTGAACATTCCATGGACGTGTATATTTAGTGAAAATGAAATTACCATTCTATGTGAATAATTGCTATTCCTACTGTAAAGTAGGAAGTATTCAATTTCTCTTTCAGCTTTACTGGAAATACTGAGTTTCATTGCAACCTAGGTGTACTCTTGATAGCATTATCTGAAAATTAAATATTAATGAATGGAGGCAGTTAAAGCCTACTATGGTTGTTGCATTCTCTGCAACTTAAAGATGATCTGCAAAATTAAAATGAAAACTTAGCTTGAGCATAGACTATCATGTTATGGTCAGGTACACATTCCTGGAAGAACACTAAGAAAAAAAACTTCATTCTAATTGCAGAGAGTAAGTAAGCCTCAACAAAGTTATAAATGAGCTATATGAAGGACGTTTTAACAATTTTCATGCCATCTAGTTACTTAGGAAGCTTAACCATGTTTTGCCTATACAACTCTGTACTTCTCTTTGAACACAGTACCAAAAAAGGTTCTGGAGTTGCTTTTTCTTTCTCTCCTGGGAAAGGAACTGTTTGTAAATTCCAACTAAAACTGTTGACAACTTTTAAATGAAAAAAAATGCTGAGCATAAGGCTAAGATTGTGCATTCATTATGATATTGATGCACTCATCAAATGTATGTAAAAAATTGGTGAGCATGGAGGGACAGAACAAGCCCCTTCCACAAAATGCCCTGGACACTAGTCACTATATAGAAGGATCATCTGCTCTTGATCATTTCTATTGATGCCTTCTTCTCTATCATGTTGAAAATATTCAAGTATTAATTACAGTTAATTTACTAAAACTTATATTTCATCTGCTAGCTGAACTTTCTAAAAGTGCTGGCTTCTCTTTCCCTGTCTTTTTGACTCTATGAATAATTTAATAACTTTTACAACCCCTGCGAGAGGAAGCACAGAGGGTTTATCTCAGACTATTCAACAACCTAATGGTTGGTGCATTCCCTTGTGAGAGACCTTGACTCAAGCCCATTGTTTGCCTGAGTTTAAGCAAGGTTTGAAACTTTTACCTCTAAAGACACTATTTTAATACCTGAGATTTATGAGTTAGTCAGGATATTCAATAGTAGAACTCCTTCCAAGTAATTTATTGGAACACTTCCAGTTCCCATACAATACAGAGATGTTCACTGAACCAAAGGGAAAACAAATGAAATTGATAATTTTATTCACATAATCTCCATAGGGATGAGTAGGGAGATGATTTTCGTATAGTACAAAGCACCAGGAACTTTTTCTCACACTGACATATTTCAGTGGGTTCTGGATGCAGAAAAAGAGGCCATGGAAAGGCCTTTGGTGGAAAAGAACCATAGAAATTATGTGAAGGTGGAAGAAATGCCAGGTAACTGGAATTTTAAGGTTCAAATTTTCCGGTTCACTGAAAGAAGACTGAAAGAGAACCCAAAGAATGTAGCTGTACAAACAAATTGAATTGGATAAGCACAGTTTAGAAGTTAAAGCAGCATAAAGTACACACTAATTGCAGCTTTGCACTATCTGCTTCTAGGCAGTCTGTGAATCCAAAGACATGCTATCAAGTAGTACATCACCATCTATTGTCACCAGATTCCTCTGCATCCTGTAGCAACATTATTCACAGGTGAAGAATAGTTCTGGCACAATGCAACTCCCCACCTTTGGTTAGGAAGATGCACCTTCACTGTGCAGTCTTCTTCCTACTGTTATATGGCAATGATGTGTTTCAGCAGTGAAGGGTACAACCTCACCAGAAAACAACTCAGTACAAATATTGGCCTCCGGCCTTTTTAGCCCTGAAGAAACACTAATTCACAAACTGTGATCAGAATATTCATGTGAAAATCTGGAAGATGCTCAACATGAGGGAAGAGACAATCCTAATTTCATGTGCTTCTTTATAAGATATAAAACAAAGGAAACTTAAGATTTTAAGGACAGTAAAAAGGACGAAGAAAGGAAACATATTCTGAGTTCAGATGTAAAGGATCTAAAGCTGTGGCCTTGTCTAATCCCTAAGCAACATAACATTTATCTTGGACAAAGGTTAAAAGGCAGGATGATAAGAATACCAAGGTATTATATACTAGCATATAATCAGGAAGAACGCTTGTATAAAATCTGAGAGGGTCTGGTCTTAAAATAATTTTGGATTTAATTTATTAGATTAGTAAATGAATTACTAATTGATACTGTAGTCAATTACATTTGTGATGAATCTTCACTCGAAGACAATTTAGTCATAATTATAAAATTTTAGACTGTGCAAATGAATATGGTAAATAACGTACCGCTTGAAAATTTGGCCTAATGGAATATTAACTTATTTATTTATAATTGTTTTATATACTACACATTAGGTATAATAATTAGAAGAATAGGAATTATTATAATATATTCATATTAAAATTATTAACAATATTTTTATTCTTAAGTTATTAATTGAACATATATTAAACAGCAAAATTTTAAAAGTAAGTTGCATTAGTTTTTTCAGGTACTGCTAGATAATCACAACTATACACTAATAGGTACTGTTGTTTGAGTCAATATTACACTTTTTCTAATAGTTTGAGTAGCCATGGTTTTAATCACCCACATAAGACTCCATCTTTATGGAAACATAGAAGATGTAGTGCTTAATTACAGAGAGTGGCTATTAGTACGTATCTTCAAATATGATAGCTCTATCTGTAAAAAAAGGAAATAGTTGCCTCTATAGTCTACACTACACCAGAAACTCTGTATTTCCTCTAACTATATCATAAATATGTCTGAAATCCCTTGGAGTAATTACATTAAATAGCACAATATGCTTTTTAAGACTGAAAATACCCGTCTTTCTGACTTGTTACATTGTGCATCAGCATTCATAGTGCTGCAAAAAGCAGTGGTTATAATATCAAAAACTGCAATATCCATTCGTATAATTGTGTTTGAAAATTCCTAAACTATAAATTGTTCTTGGCTTAATGGTGCTTATACGACTTACACATAACATATGTACCATCTCTTGCAGTACAAATACAAGTACAAACACAGACGCAAAATAAAAGTACCCTCAGTTTCTCTCAAATACCTAAAGAATGAAAGGTAAGAAAGTGCATGCTGTTCATATGGAAAACACAATTGTCAAAGAACCACTTACTGTTCTGCAAATTGTCACTTTTAAGTTTATGACTATAAACACAGCCATGTTTTGTTGTTACTAGACAATAGCTCCCTCTTTACATTCACTAATTACATAAAATTGCTCTATCCTACAGTCAGTACTGTTTCTGGGTTCTTTAGCAAAATTAGCAGTGACACTTGAGCTCTGATGAAACTGGTTTAGTGCACTCTTGGAAAAACAGCTTAAATAAACCGTGAAATAACTTGCTACCTACTTGAAAATTTTTTGCACATACACTGCTGCTCTTCTTAGAAAGAAATTCCTTACTGTTGGTGGTGAAGCACTGGTACAGGTTGCCCAGGGGCATTATGGATGCCCCATCCCTGGAAGTGTTCAAGGCCAGATTAGACAGGGCCCTGAGCAACCTGATCTAGTGATCAGGTTGGCAGGGAGGTTGGAACTAGGGGATCTTTAAGGTTCCTTCCAACCTGAACCATTCTATGATCCTATGATTGTTTGTGACCTCTCTGGAATGGATAGAAACAGGCCCTGGCTCTGCCACTGTAGTTAGAGAAAAAATTTTTGGTATCCAAAGTTTGTGAGCAACTTACCCTTACAAGGATGATGCCTAATGTAAAAAAACAGGGAAGGTTTTTCCACCTAAGATGAAATTCTCACTTACTCGTTAGGCTCTGGGAAACATCTAGGCTGCAGGATGGGAAAGCGCAGAGGATCTAAGATTGGTGAGTGCAGACAGAGCTCATGGAACATGTCTCAGGACTGTGAAATAGACAGTGTAGGATCTCATGGCCCAAAGCACTCAAAGAGATAAGTGGCTCAGACATCTGGTAATGGGAGGGCCTTTTCTTCAGGTAGGTTTGCCCAGTCAGACCTGGCTGACTGTTAGTAACTTATCCAGGATCCAACTGTGAAGTAGAGAATACTGACTATGAATCAATATGACAGAAAACTATATGAAATAAAAAGAAGTCAGTAAAATGACCAGTATACTGACACCAGCTTTTTGCTATGCTGTACTGAACTGTTTCTGCTGTATTGGCCTTAACTCGTAGAGGATTCTGAGGGAAAAGACAGATCAAAGGAAGGAGAGCATCATTTCTCCAGTCAGGGAACTTGGAATGAGTGGGCAGCCTGTGCTGAAGGAGAAAGGTTTGTATTTTCTTGTGACTATGAAAACGAGCCTCAGCAACTTTCCAATAGAACAGCTTTTTGAATGGCATTTGTGATTGCCTGCTCCTGGTCCAGCAAAATGAAGCAGCCCAGGCTCTCAATCAACACGATAATTGAGTCCAGTGGTGGAATTCTCCAGGAGGAAGCTAAGTAGCTGCTACTTTGGACTCACAACATCCTGCAGAGATGCTGAGTGCCTCAAAGAGCCTAAGCAGTAGGATTGTGGTCTTCCAGCACATACAGAAATTTTCAGAAAGTGCTTTTGCTTTATTAATGAAAATAAAGATGATATGTGCAAATTAATCATCCTTTGGAGCAATGCAAATTCCCACGTACATTTGAGTTTGTAAATAAAATTTAACTTTCTAAAGTAATTTTCTTTTCATAAAACTTTTTCTGCACAACCCTCTTCCCCCTTAAGAGGGCCTACAGAAAAGATGGGGAGGGAGCCTTTATCAGAGAGTGTAGTGATTGGATGAGGTTTAGCAGCTTTAAATTGTAAGAGGGCAGATTTAGATTAGATATTAGGAAAAAATTCTTTACAGTGAGGAGGGTGAGGCCCTGGAACAGGTGGCCCAGAGAAGTGTTCAAGGCCAGGCTGGATGGGGCTCTGAGCAACCTGGTCTAGTGGAAGGTGTCTCTGCCCACAGCAGGGGCGTTGGAACTAGATGATCTTTAAGGTCCCTTCCAACTCAAACCATTCCATTATTCTGTGATTCCGCTAAAGTAAATGGAATTAGGGCTTCATTACCAGAAGAAAAAAAAAGGCAGTGTAACTCCTGCTGAAGCACATCTCTGTCCCAGCAATCTTTCTGACTTCTGTCACAACAATAGAAAAGGAGTCATCAGCATAGCTACTGAGGGGAGTAGAGACACAGTCACAAATTTATGTCACAACCAAGGGTCACATCCTTAGGAATTCATATGTCAGAGGCAACAGTGGTTCAGTACTTAGATAACCTGGCCAATTCATCAGCAAAGTTAGAGAAAGATGAAAAAGAAAGTGACACTTAGGCAAAGATGTGGCTTCTTATCCACATTTCAGATACGCTAATGCAGGGTCATAGGGCATAATACTGTGGAAATTTGAGATGATTTTTAAGTAAATGGGTTGGAAGCCTGTACCTTTCAACCCAAACAAGGAAGAAAGAAACCTTTTGGATGTTATCATGAGGACCTAACGCATGAAAGTTGTGCAATGAAGACAAAGATTCATTTGTGTCACATGATGAACACCAAGACATCTCAGAGTAACTTTAAACTACTGAAACTGCTTTCTATTCTAAAATAATCTATACTAGGAAACAAAAGTCCTTAGATCTTGTAGGTGTTAATTACCAGGACCTAGGTTCACAGCAATTATATCAGTGAGCTCTACAAAAGCATGAGGGAAAGGCCAAAGGGAAAGGTAAGTTTTTAAAATTCCGACAGCCATAGACGATAAACTCTTCCCATTGAATGCACAGCAGATTTTCCACAAATTTCCAAATACATTCAAGTATATGACATCAACTGTCAGCGGAGCAACTCTGAAGTAGGCACATTTCCCTAGAATAACCAGCAATTTCACATATTTTCTAGATTTTTAACCCATGGCTATAGGAAGAAAAGGACAGGCTGAAGTAGAGGATTTTGAAATTCCAGAGATCATAGAATCAATCATTAAGGTTGGAAAAGATGTCTACAATCATCGACTCCAACCATTAACTTAGCACTCTTGCATTCACCACTAAACCAAATCCCCAAGTGCCACACCCACACGCCATTTGAACACTTCCAGAGATGGTGATTCCACCACTTCCCTGGCCAGCCTGTTTCAATGCCTGACCACCCATTTGATGAAGCAATCTTTGCTAATATCCAATCTAAACCTCCCCAGGCACAACTTTAGACCTCTTCCTCTTGTCCTATCGCTTGTTAGTTACTTAGGAGAAGAGGCTGAACCCACCTCACTAAAACTTCCTTTCAGGCAGTTGCAGAGAGCGATGAGGCCCCCCCAAGAATGCATTTCTACAAGATGTATTTGAAGGTTCCTCTGCTTATATGGAGTAGTGAAGGATATGCAGATCTTTTCCATAAGTTTGACAGATGTCAGAAAGGCTTCGGTAATTAATCAAATTTCTATTTGGTACAAGCATCCAGAAAGCAACGAGATGATATGCAATACTCTGTAAGTGGTGCTTGAGAAGGAAGCGACCCTCTTTATTAGGTCTCAGAAGGATTTTAAGTCAGCATTGTACAAATACCAGCAAAGTGTCCTTTTTGGAAGGTGACATCAAATGATTGGAGCTTACGATGATTCTTGTGGTCACTGAAGGAAGTGGTTATGGGGAGGACAGTGTTGCAGGTGCAGGAAAAGACTGCAATTGCAGGACACTTATATTCTATTTGTGTTATTCTGATGTGAACCAGTGAACTCACATCAGCTGTTATGCCCATTCCTTCAAGTAAAATATGCCATATTGCTCTCCTCGTATGAAAGAGCAGCCTTGAAACTGAGATGCAGAATTTAGTCATTCAAGGAGGAGCATAATGTGCTGGGAGTAACCACAAGCCATAATAGATTGTAAAGAGCAGATTGCTCAGATAAAGCAATGAGAGATACATAAAGTATTCCATTAAGAAGTAGACTGTCTGTCTGTTCTTGCCCAGTGGGCAGAGGGAACTTCCTTATGAAAAAAGAGAAGGCATACTGAAGTTTACTCTCATTTTCTCTAGATACAGTTTCCTGAAAGTCAGTTTTATGGAATTTGCCTTTTTCAAGATCCCTATAGTGCTTGGAATAATATTCTTCCAGTGTTAGTAAAGTAGCTAAATACACATGAAGCTAGCAAGTATTTCATCACAATGGTAAGGTTCATGACTTTGTGAAACTACTAAGGAATTATTTTGTTTTATTGTTCCTTGGCCATAAAAGATGACAAAAATGAGCCTTAGCTCAAGAAATAGCCTCCATCCAGCAATATGGTTTGTGAGGGTAACAGTATGATGTATTCCTGTGCTGGGAATTTGCTCGTCACAGAAATGGCAAAGTTTAATACTGCTCTGGAGGGAAGACACTGCCAAAAAAATATGCAAAAATGGCACACATACACACATACAGAGTAGAGGGAAAGGAAACAGCATGTGGCTAACACTGGAATACTCATTCTCCATGAGCTTCATTGAAATGTAAACAAAAGCAGCAGAAAAAAAGAAATTAAGAAATAGAAGCATGTAAAAAGGAAAGATGAAATAAATTAAAAAGCTAAGAACCCCTTGGAAACAGTGTCATGCAGGCAAAACTCACAATGAGGGTGCTCTGACTCAGACAAGTACTTCCAAAGAACTGAGGTCAAATTGTTCTTTCACTGTTGCACTGTAGGCATGAAAGGAGGTAGGGGCTATGCTCTGCACATTGCTGAAGCAGCAAGAATCTTCAGAATGAATACCAAACATCCAATTTGAATCTATGTATGGATGGGACAAAAATTTTAAAAAAACAAGTGCAATAGGTGCAATAGGTGCAAAATCTGTCTCCCCAGTGGAGAAAATTAAGAAAGAAGTAAGTTGGTACGACTGTCAGTCATTTCAATGCAAATGGACCGACATTCAAAACAAGTAAGTATTAAAAGGAAGTTTCAAAATTAATTTAATAAAACTTTCTTTGACAAATTTCATTTGTGGAAAAAAATACAGGGGGACACTTCAGAGTTAACACAGCATGAGTGGTAGAGAAGTCAGGAGGTTATGACACTATTTGGTCCTCAAAGCAGGCTACTTGCATTGTAATATAGGCATGAACTAAGGAATCATAGACAAGAGGTATAAAAGCAGTAAACTATCATTTATTAACAACTTTTCATATTAAGAAGTAGAAGAATCATGCTGAAAGAACCACTTCTTGGTTATCACCAGTCTCCGTTGACAGGAATTAAAGATCTGAATCCCAAAGATTGGGTTTTTTGACATAAGGCAAAAAGACAAAAATTTGTATTGAGAGAACTCATAAATCTTTGACCACTATGTGAATTTCACCAATGTTAGGCTAGCAGTTTAAGCTATTGGAAAAAAATCCAATCAGACAGAAAATTACAAAACCCAGTAACTAAAAGGTTCCCAAATGCAGGTGTCACATTAACTTAATGTGTAACTTAAGCCTTGTATTGTTAGATATTCTAAGCATTTCAAATGGCAGCAACTATGCATATGTAGCAACCTTGATTCCCATTCACACTGCCTTTTACTTTTGGATTTTTTTTCTAAGGAAGTCTGTTGTAAATGTGCGATTTATGATTATAATTCCAGCAATAACTGTTATTCAATTTATTTTCTCTGAAAAACAACCTGGCATCATGTCAGGTTGCTAGTCAAATGCTAGTCATTTCACCCCATGAAAATCTTAGGCTAAAGGAATCCACCTTTTCCCTTGAAGTATTTAACCCACCTATTTAATACACCAAGATAATTCTGCTCTTCATATCTGTATTATGTATCTTAACAGTAGATCAGGAAGGCACCTGTAATTAAAAAGTAATTTCCAATTATCGTTCACAGTTTACACTGCTCTGGTGTTTCACACCATTCTAGCAGTCAAACTGCCTTAAGCACAATCTATGCATTTCACAAAATAAAACCAGAAAGCAATTGCTTTTTTAATAAGCTACAGGAAATAAAAGAGTAACATATGAGGGGCACACACCCACATACCTTAGATGCTATTCTTTTTTTGAAGTATTCTCTGCCTTTTTTTTTTTATCTACTTGATTAATTCAGTACACACTTTAGAAGTCCAACAGAACTGCTGAACTGCGTGACTCTCTCTATAATTCCCCATATTTCTTCTTGATTGTTTCAGCTCCCATTTGATGAGCTCATCTCTTAGATGAATTTCATTTCTCCTCATCACTTACGAATATGCTTTGGTACTTGTAGGCAATATCTAGTATTTTGGTTTTAGTTCTTCTCTATCCCCCCTACACTCTCACTGTGATATAATCAGTTCCTTTATTCACCTATTATCCTTCATTATTTCATGACTTTCAGATTATTGGTACTTATGATATTATTCCATCCCCTGTTCCCTTCTCACCTGTCATTAGTTATCAATTATATCCATCCTTCTAAAGCTTCTACAGCTTTGTTCCTCCTTTCCACTGTAATGTCCACCTTACACTCCTTCAGCTCTGTATGCTAACAGCCAAATATTTAGCTCCTAGCATGGTGGCAGGGCACCAGTGGCCTGCTCAC